GGACCGCGTTGGCTGCTTTATCTCTATCTATCTATCTATCTATCTGTCTGCTCTTTAAATGTATTTCCTTGTATGTTGTGTTCAAGTCTTTTCTGTCTGTAAATTGTTCTTTTCATCAAGGTCAGCTAGACACCCCGAAGGGGTCTGAAACCACTCTGAAACCGCTCTGAAACCACAGAAGTTCAACCCGTGCAGAGCTACTTCCCAGTACTACTTCCCAGTACTACTGTGTACTACAAAGCTTGCACAAAGCACTTCCCAGTACTACTGTGTACTACAAAGCTTGCACAAAGCACTTCCCAGTACTACTTTGTACTACAAAGCTTGCACAAAGTCCTTCCCAGTACTACCTTGTACTACACAGCTTGCACAAAGCACTTCCAAGTACTACTTTGTACTACAATTTAAAGCTTGCACAAACTACTTCCCGGTACTACTGTATACTACAAAGCTTGCACAAAGGACTTCCCAGTACTTCTGTGTACTACAAAGCTTGCACCAAGTCCTTCCCAGTACTACCTTGCACTACAAAGCTTGCACAAAGCGACTTCCCAGTACTACTGTGTACTACAAAGCTTGCACCAAGTCCTTCCCAGTACTACCTTGCACTACACAGCTTGCACAAAGCACTTCCAAGTACTACTTTGTGCTACAAAGCTTGCACAAACTACTTCCCAGTACTACTGTATACTACAAAGCTTGCACAAAGCACTTCCCAGTACTACTTTGTACTACAAAGCTTGCACAAACTACTTCCCAGTACTACTGTGTACTACAAAGCTTGCACAAACTACTTCCCAGTACTACTGTGTACTACAAAGCTTGCACAAACTACTTCGCAGTACTACTTTGCACTACAAAGCTTGCACAAGCTACTTCCCAGTACTACTTTGTACTGCATGGCTTGCACAAACTACTTCCCAGTACTACTGTGTACTACAAAGCTTGCACAAACTACTTCCCAGTACTACTTTGTACTACACAGCTTGCACAAAAACCACTTCCAGTTTATACGGTACTACAAATCTGAACAAAGCAATTTCCCCCAGTACTCGGTACTACAAAGCTTGCAACCAAACGCACTTCCCAGTCACACTTTGTACTACAAAGCTTGTGCACCAAACTACTCCAGACTTACTGTGTACATACAACGCTTGCACCAAACTACTTCCAGTTTACTTTGCACTACAAAGGCTTGCACAAAACTACTTCCCAGTACTTACTTTGTTTTACTACTGGGTTGCACAAACTACTTCCAGTCTACTACTGTGTACTACAAAGCTTGCAGAAAGCACTTCCCAGTACTACTGTGTACTACAAATGCACAAACACGTTCCAGTACTACTGTGTACTACAAAAGCTTGCACAAACTACTTCCCAGTACTACTGTGTACTACAAAGCTTGCACAAACTACTTCCCAGTACGAAATACTAAGTGAATACTAAATATTTAACATTCGAAAACAAGTACGAGAATAATGATGAAAAACAACTGAAATGATGAAAGTGATCCGGGAGTGTGGTCGCGCAAGAAACGCGCAAGGTTGGCGCAAGCTCGGCCCAAGAGGCCTTTGTGGGAACAGTAATTTAGGACAACCCCCATATATAGCATATACATGGATCCTATGGGTAATTGATCCAATGTTAAAAAACGTCAAACAGATCTCAAAGCGGTGACTTCATCTCCGATGTGAGCCTTGATCTCTGCCAGACATCCGGTGATTTGACGGTGTGGGACCGTGGGGGTCTAGATAGCATAAATCCGGAAAGTACAGAAATGGGAAAAAAGTTGGAAATTCTGCACATTTGTTTCGAAATGTGCAAGGTGCCAAGGACACTATGTCCAAAAGGAGACTTGTCCCCAGGGAGGTGCTGGAATTATCTGGAAATCAGAAATGCCATGCCGTTGAGTTTGGACAGGAGTTTGCTCCAAAGCGACGGGTGCTCAACGAGGTCATGATCTTCAATCCGCATTATGCATCTTGGCCTTGGGCAGTTCGAAGAGGATGAAACAAGTATAAAAAATAAGTATAATTTCTTTAGCTTCTTGATTTTTCCCCATCAGTATGCAGAAGAAGTGCTTGAACACCACGTTTGTTGCTGTCAGACAATCATTCTGAAGCTCTTGAACGGTTTGACTTTCTTTGGAGCTCTAGGGCCCTAGGGTCTAAGCCTCTAAGCTCCTCTAAGCACCTGAAATCACCTGAAATCACCTGAAATCACCTGAAATCACCTGAACTTTGCCAAGGCAGTTTTCAGTATGGAAAAGGGCAACCCTGTGTGGCCCTCAAATGTGCCGAGCAAATCTGTCGCACAATGTGCTTCGCACATTCGCACATTGTGCATCGCCCCCTCGGCTCGCAGGAGGTTTACTCGGGCGTTTGCCTCGGCAATGAGCCCCGATTTTGCGCGGAGGAAAAACACAGGGAACCACACTTTATGCGCTTTATGTGCTTTATGCGCTTTATGTGCTATGCAGCATTATGCAGCTATGCATTCCAGTGAAGTTGTTCACGTCATCAACAAACAACAGTTTTTGATGTGTTTGAAGGGTTGGAGCTGTTTTCAGTGGAACATTTCATGCTAAAACCTGGAACTTCTGCAACGTTTTGTGGTGTGGTGCGTTTTTTTCGAGTGCCTGGAGAGGATCCAGACGGTGCCGGAAGTGTCACCGGCGAAGAGGCGGGATGACTCGACGGAGAAGTTGATCAAATCGTATTGCAAAACACAGAAACTGCGTATGATATACAACTAACATCAACTAACATGATAAATATACTAGACTAGTATTAATATAACCATTAGTTATAAATAGAAATCTATTGAAACATTGAGAAAATGGAAAAGGACATGGCAACCTGAGCCAGCCTGCATCTGCCTGCCTTGTTCCAGCTCAGGTGCTGATGGAGGACGTGCGACAGCTTTGCATCCACGACCGAACGAAGGCTTGGAGTAAAACTATGGAGAACAACTGCTCGATAGCTGGCTGTAGTTGCTACTTGCTAAAGTTAGCAAGGCAGGGGAGGTTGGGGACTAATAGGACATAATAGGACTAAGCAGGTTAATTTTTTTTGCATGCTTCTTAGAACCGGTTATCGCTTCCTGTTCTAGATGATTGCTGTTGTGGGTACTTATTGTCCGGCTCTATTTGCATGCTGATCCCCATATTTGTTTCAATTTTGGGTCATTCTTCTCATGGTGGTTCCCATGTCATAAAACTTTGCGTCTAAAGATTCAACTAGGAATCAGCAAGAAATCAACAAGGAATTAACTGCCTGTTCCCTTCGGGAACCAGTCATCCTGGGCCTTGTGCAAAGCACACGGAACAGTTGTGACACGCCTTGTGCCACATGTATGTGGAGAGATGTGGAGAGTTTGGCAGCTCAACTTGAAGATCCAACAAAGCGTTCACCAGCAGTATCAGCTTCGGAAAATAAGCACACCAATTCAACGACAAGCAGCAACTTCAACAGCAGTCACAATGTACCCTTCTACTATTCTGGCTATGCCCAACTTTTCACATGTCGTGCTCGTTATGGTGTTTGTCTTTTCAGTCCGGAAGTTACCAATCATCAATTTTTATTGCTCCTAGATTCCCCACTCACCCGTGGGCCCAAAGTATAAGAGAGAAACAATGTGAAGCACATGTGTTTAGCACAGCGTGCTGTGTTTCACCATGTTTCTCTGTTGCAAATGTGCTGCAAGGTGAAACGCTCGAGCTTGGAGGATTTGATGAGTGGAAAACATCTTGTCGAGTCTGAAACTCGGAGAATGCGGCTGATGCGGCTGATGCGGCCGATGTTTGTCAACATGTCGACCATCCATGTCGCCTTGCGTCGCCTTGAATGTCTCCTTGGCAGCTTGATGCGGACGGCTGAGGTACGCTGCCAAATACTGGGACTACATGGAAAAGTTCTTGGACAGGTGCAGGAAATATTTAACAATCGTGAATGGTATGTATAGAATGTCAACGTATAGAAATGGAGATCAAAGAAAGCACCAATATTAGTGTATCAAATTGTATCAATCAGCTGAAAGATCTGAAAGTGGAGTACATCACCAGAAGCCGTCAGGAATCCACAAATGCATGCTTTGCACAGATTTCGACTCAATTGTTCTGCTTCATCTCGATCATCTCGCAGAACAAGGTGAATCCAAGCATCTCTTGTTCTAAACAAAGCATCAGCAACAGCAACACCTAGAATTGAACGCTGCTGCATAACACGGCCCTAGTACATTTGGCTCCAACTTTTCCAGCATAGTGTGCCACTGTGGAGGTGTCCCTTGGATGGAACTGGCAGCGCAAAGTTCGGCATTGAATGTTCAGAGAAGGTGATGCGAGAGGCACCTTTTTCACAGAGTCATCCTGGACCAAAGACCAAAACAAACTGAGCATGAAATTCTTGAAAGGTAGGATAGAATCCACTAATGAATTTAAGGAGTGTCTCCTGAGTTTGCAGCACAGTACACAACAAAAATCATTGCTATGGCTATGTCGTCTTTGCATAGTTTGCCCTCTACCTCGTAGGTTAACATCGACCCAACGGAAATCCAAGAGTGCGTTCTTCGGCGGAGAGAAACGTCCAGCTGCCATGTCTAACCGGAACTCGTCCTGTTTGACTTTTTCTAACGTAGTCAACCTGAATCCAATGACAGTAAATTTATGGAATGAACATGTCAACCTCTGCTAATTTGCCGTCAGTGGCGCCAGGATATTGCAACACGAACTGGACAATCCAGTTTCTTGGCAGGTTCAGCTCATGAGGCCTCTATAGGCCTCTAGCCTAAGGATGTCTAAGGAGTTCACCCCGTTGCTGCTGGTCACACATGCCATGGCCGCAGCTGTACAAAGATCCAACGGGGCAGTCCAAGTGTGTCAAAAAGGGGATCCAAATGGGATCCCATCGATTGTCCTCACAATTTTCATGATATGATTATATATGATTTGTTTAGGATGCCAAAAATGCATTAATGTGATTTCCACAATTTGGATTGGTGGCACTGCCCAATTTTCGATCCAGACCTGTGCCATGGGCTGCACCTGAGCAGCTTGGTAGACATGGAGAGCTGGGAATTTCCCACGGAACTCGACGAGTTCTTGGAGTTTTGCGTGGAGGACAGGCCTTTGCCTTTCCTCACTTTTTCGGCAGGAAATGTCGGAACAGTTTTGCACATGGCAGGAGCACAATGGCGACTTCGACGAAATCTCCAGGCAGCTTGGATCACTTATCTACTCGAAGAGTTTGATCAAGCCTGGTTTTGAATGTTTTGAGGGAGTTGTGACAAGAATCAGTTTCGACCACATTGGCAATCTCAGTGCAGGTGCAGGTCCACCAAAATGATGACTGGGGCCGTTTATGTTTTCTGCCAAAACACCGTGCATTTAGTGACATCGCTGCAGGGAATTCTTGGAAGTAGCTAGTGGTCTTGATGAACAGTTGGCTGGACGTGCAGAGGAGGCCAGATCCTGCGCGTGTCATTTCCAGAGTTTTGTCAGGTTCAAGCTGCAATATGGATTCCTTTTTGAAAATAGTAGATGCTGCAGGTATCCCATGGATGCCCGACATTTCCCCACATGCATTGAAATCAACATCAACATAACATAAACATTGAAATCATTTGAAATCAACATAAACGGCATGATACTTGCACGTGCATCGCAGAAATGAGTTTCCATGAGAATCTCTTCTTCTGTCAGGTGTGTTTCTTTCAAGGTGTTTAAAAGTCGGTGATTTGGTGTGATGTTTTCCTCCTTTTTCTTGGAATTTTCCTGATTTTCCTTCACAAAAACTTCAAAGTTTCTCCCCATTTCTTGTTTTTTTGCACAAAAAGATTGTTTTTTTTTCATTTTTTCCTCCGTTTTCGAGGCCTTCTCGGCGCCGTCCCTGCGGCAGCGCTACCTGCAGCTGCACCCCGAGGCCGATGGCGCGGCCGGTGCCGCCGGTGCCGTGGCGCCGCCCTCGGTGACGGCCACAGAGCTCACGGAGGCCGACCACGAGGAGAGCAACGACGCGGCCGACGCGGCCGACGCGGACGTGGCCGATTGGAAGCACGCCCAGAACGAGGAGACGAAACCGAAAACGAAGAACTGAAATGAACTGAACAGAAAACGTAAGAAAACGTATAAGAAAACTCTCCAACAGAGAGAAGCCGACATGGTGCAAACATTCCGTGTCGCTCGCATCACGGAATTCTAGCATGATCAGAGCAGTGTTACAAAAGAATGCAAGGTAAAAAGATGTCAAAAGAATCTTTTGTGCACAAGTGTTTTGTCTTCATTGTCGTCTCCCTTTCTGAGCAGTGAGAGCTATGCAGCTGCAGTTTTTTAAATGTTTTCGTTTTCAGGAGGGAGAAGACTCCAAGCGTTTGGGAGTCTATTTGATTCATAGTTCATAGGATGTTCATGAGAAGATGGCTTCGTATGAGTTTTCTATGAGTGTTACTCACAAAGGAATTGACATCTTCGCATCATTAGGAAGACATCCGTCCACACCTGACGTGTCCTTGAAGGCTTTAGGTGCTGCCTGAAAGCCCTGCAGGACGCACCCTCCCAGTTTTCGGTGCTCACGGACAGTCTGCAGGATGGGATGGGATGGCCAGTTACATCAAGCTTCACAAAATTTCAGATTCTCAGTGTAAGAGGGCTCACTGTTGCTAAGATATCTAAGATCCTTGATGGTTTGCCCAAGACGCTTTGCTATTTTTGCTGAGGAAGATAGCGTCCTTGACAAAAGGATTGACAAAAGGATATCCTTTGCATCCTTTACTGCCTCCAGACTCCAGACTTGACAGTTTCATTCTAAGATCAGCTGCTTGAACCAGGTGCAAGGGCGCACATGGTCCAAGAATCAAAGGTAGCACTGCGATGCATACGCACACACACACACATGGAACACATCCATTGCTTTGAGACGTTTCCGCGCCTTCGAAAGAGCGTGAGATGAAATTGAATTAGTTCTAGGAAATCTCAAAACGGCTGAAAACCGTAAGGCCAACTGTTTCGCATTACTTAGACGAATTACTAATTCAAAAGTGTAAATTCGGAAGTCAGTTCAGTCGACATTCACCCTAAACAGGGTTGCCTCAATTGGCCCTATGGCACCATGTCGGAGTCACCATAGGAATCACACTAGATAAGAATGGATCATTGTAGTGATCCGGCAGGAACTGAATCCTGTAACATGCAAATGAGATGAGAAACAAATTAAGGAAAAAAGGCAGGTACGTGACAAAGGCGTCCCTTCGTCATATCACAGCAAATGATGAAGCGTCTTCGTTGAGTGGTGACTTCATCATTGCTCACCACTCCCCTGCATTATTTAAAAAGGGAGAAGAGGGAAGAAAAAAAGGAAGTTTTACATCTATCCAGATGTTACACACACACATGGAACACATCCATTGCTTTGAGACGTTTCCGCGCCTTCGAAAGAGCGTGAGATGAAATTGAATTAGTTCTAGGAAATCTCAAAACGGCTGAAAACCGTAAGGCCAACTGTTTCGCATTACTTAGACGAATTACTAATTCAAAAGTGTAAATTCGGAAGTCAGTTCAGTCGACATTCACCCTAAACAGGGTTGCCTCAATTGGCCCTATGGCACCATGTCGGAGTCACCATAGGAATCACACTAGATAAGAATGGATCATTGTAGTGATCCGGCAGGAACTGAATCCTGTAGCATGCAAATGAGATGGGAAACAAATTAAGGAAAAAAGGCAGGTACGTGACAAAGGCGTCCCTTCGTCATATCACAGCAAATGATGAAGCGTCTTCGTTGAGTGGTGACTTCATCATTGCTCACCACTCCCCTGCATTATTTAAAAAGGGAGAAGAGGGAAGAAAAAAAAGGAAGTTTTACATCTATCCAGATGTTACACACACACACACATGGAACACATCCATTGCTTTGAGACGTTTCCGCGCCTTCGAAAGAGCGTGAGATGAAATTGAATTAGTTCTACTTGAACTTTTTGGAAATACAGGGTGAATCCAAACATGATTCACCAAGTGATTCATCAATTGATTCACCATTTCACCATGAGTTTCAGATGTCCTTCTGGACATCCTTCGTTTGGAGGACCGTGTGAGGCGGATCTACAACAACGTGCAGCTGCGCCTGCCCTCCGCGTTTCGTGACGCTGGCAGCGACTCAGAGCACAGCGCGGATGCGGTCTCAGGGCGTCACAGCGAGGCCTCAGAGGATGGCGACTTGAAGGCCATCTCCCAGTCTGGGGATGAAAATGGATGAAATATGATGACATATGTTACTTTATTATGATACTTTAGTATATACTTTACATGTATAATACAAATTCATGGCGTTTGAAAACAATTTAAAACTGCTTGATAAACATCTTTAGTCACTACCAGATGCAGATCGTTCCACGGGAACATAGGAAATCTGAGTCCACAAACTGAGCTGTCTATGTCTAAACTTTCAAAGATCTTCAAAGTGATGAGTTTCGGTGCAGGATGCAGCTGTACGGCTGTTTGGCAGCGCCAACCTGGGCCATGTCGTAGCGGATTTGTCCCATGGAGCACCGGTGAAGTCGCCCGACAAATCGCAGGATCGGGACCCGTCCGGTTTGATCGCTCGAGCTCTGAGGGGTGAGGATGAAAGCAGCGAGGATTCCGCCGTGGACGACTTCCGAGCCATGAGGAAAGCAGTCAAGGACCAGCCCTCCATAAAAACATCACAACATATGACAACATATGACAACATATGACAACCATATTACACGAATTACTAGATTACGACTTAATTGCACAACATTCATGTTGACTTGGCATGAAGCTCATGTTTTCAATGTATGTTTGGGAGCAGTGAGGATGTTGTCATGCTGTGTGTAACTTGGAGTGAAGATGAGTGAAGGATATATTGTCACAACATATCATATCTATTCATATCTATTCATATCTATTATGTTTCGTTCTTAAATATATGGCATATCAATGGCATATCAATGGCATATCATGTGACTGTTTCGAAGTTTCTCTTTGGTTTGTTTCTCCCAAGGAGTCCAGTCAGCAGGTTGCAACCGATCCCAAAAAGCCGCTGGTCAGAAAGCTTCGCCAAGCGATGCCAGCGAAGCCAAAGCCAAAGCCGGAGCCAAAGGCCACAGGATTTGTTCGTTTGGAGCTTGTTGAAAGCACCAGTGAAGAAGAAGATGGAAAGAATGAAGTCAGTTCTGAAGACGAAGAAATCAGTCTTGAACAAGACTCCCATCTTCGCGTCTTGCACCGCTTGGAAAGCTCGGCACCGACTGGTGAATGCCCTTGGGATGTGTGGCTTCAAGCGACACGGTCATGGCCACAGCTGAAAACGAAGCTGAATTCTCCGGATTTTTGTCGCCAAAATGGCGACCTTTGTGTGAACTTCGATGTCGAGCTGTTGAAAAAGTTGATCCAAGAAGAGAAGGCAGCACGTGCCGCTGCGCGCCAAGCGCGCATTGACGACCAGGAGAATCAGAAAAATCGTGTGAACGAATACATCGAAGAAGCTGAACGAAGACGTGAGATGATCAAAGGCCGCATCGGTGGTTTCCTCCTCGCACCTCGCAGTGAGAAATTGGAAGAAACTCTCCGAAGGTCGGCCATGTCGGCCAAAGCCGAAGAGAACTCCTTCAATCCACCGCCACGGCCCTCAACGTTCGCACGACTACGACCATCTACCAATGGATCCCATGGACAGGTTGGACAAGTTGATGCAATGAATGCAGTGAAAGTGAACTGAGAGATAAAAAGAAACGATGAAGACTATGCTGAAGTGCATGTTTTGATATGCTTTTTGATTTGGGGAATTATTGGTACGTAACATAATATTTAAGTAACCTTGATTAAATACTGCGCATATCCAATGTTTACACGTGTACAGTTGAAGTACTTACACATTTTTCTTCGCGGCGTTTGTACATAATCCTGTCTCCTGTGCAGATATTTGCAGTGGCATGACGCTTCCGCTGCTTTTTGCTGAGGCTTGGTCACCTCGAGCCATTCGAATAAACGGCTGGCGCTACAGCGGAATGCTTGAAGCAGACCTGGTGGTTCGCGCTGTCTGTTCGGGTTTTATCCATATGCATCTTGGCTTCTCATGCTCTTACGGACCAGAAGCTTCCTCATGTGCAGAGGAACGCAGAGAACTTAAACACTCAACTGACTTTTTCGATGGTCAACATTCTTTGCACATGTTTGAACCCTCGAGAGTTTTAGTCCTTTCTTTTGTATCCCCCTTACCATTTCCACTACTAAAAGGGTGAACACGTGCTTGGTACCATCCTCTGATTCGTGGATAATTCAAGCAAAAAAAATGGACCCGTCCACCAGTTTTTGTAGTAAAAGGGTGTGCACTGTATCTTGTAGCGGTGTTCCATTTTACACTCATAAATCGGAAACGCATTTTGTAGTGATTTATTTTGGGATGCGTTGTGTCGTGCCGGAAACCCTATAGCCCTCTTTTACCAGTCATGCTCGGTCACATGAACATATAGCTTGGACCCTCAGACCATTTTTTGGCTCTTGACTCACGATTATTTCGTGGTAAGATGAGCCCCCAAAAAATCAAAAAACAAAACAAATAAGGTAGAGACTTTAAGACGGAAAAATGGGACAGACTTGGTTTCAAAACCCATCAATTGAATTTGAAGTTGTGCGCTCAGATCGTTTTTAGCTCTGAAGATTGCAGTTCAAAACCTCTGCGCCGTGCTTTTGTCACACCTTTTTTGGCCATCACATGCGATTATTAATTAAAATCTAAATCTATCCCATTCTACTAGGTTCCTGCTCTTTTTGTCCAATAGTCAAGTTTCACCCCAGTTCAACGAATCCATGCTCAGAGTTCCTTTCACCCACAATGTCACAAAGCACAGATTCGATGCGTGATGTCCTAGTTTCTGGATGACTTGTGTCATGCACTGCATTTTGTAGTGACACACGCGTGCACAACCTTTTGTAGAACCTTCTGCGCCCCCCTCCAGATAAGCCCCAAAAAGTTCGAAAAGCATGCTTTTTATGTAGAGACTTTAAGAAGGAAAAATGGGACAGATTTGGTTTCAAAACCAATCAATTGAAACTGAAGTTGTGCGCTCAGATTGTTTTTGCTGCCCCATAGCTCTGACGATTGCAGTTCAAAACCTCTGCGCCGTGCTTTTGTCACACCTTTTTTGGCCATCACATGCGATTATTAATTAAAATCTAAATCTATCCCATTCTACTAGGTTCCTGCTCTTTTTGTCCAATAGTCAAGTTTCACCCAAGTTCAACGAATCCATGCTCAGAGTTCCTTTCACCCACAATGTCACAAAGCACAGATTCGATGCGTGATGTCCTAGTTTCTGGATGACTTTTGTCATGCACTGCATTTTGTAGTGACACACGCGTGCACAACCTTTTGTAGAACCTACTGCGCCCCCCTCCAGATAAGCCCCAAAAAGATCGAAAAACATGCTTTTTATATAGAGACTTTAAGGAGGAAAAATGAGACAGATTTGGTTCAAAACCGATCAATTGAATTTGAAATTGTGCGCTTAGATCGTTTTTGCTGCCCCATAGCTCTGACGATTGCAGTTCAAAACCTCTGCGCCGTGCTTTTGTCACACCTTTTTTGGCCATCACATGCGATTATTAATTAAAATCTAAATCTATCCCATTCTACTAGGTTCCTGCTCTTTTTGTCCAATAGTCAAGTTTCACCCCAGTTCAACGAATCCATGCTCAGAGTTCCTTTCACCCACAATGTCACAAAGCACAGATTCGATGCGTGATGTCCTAGTTTCTGGATGACTTGTGTCATGCACTGCATTTTGTAGTGACACACGCGTGCACAACCTTTTGTAGAACCTACTGCGCCCCCCTCCAGATAAGCCCCAAAAAGTTCGAAAAGCATGCTTTTTATGTAGAGACTTTAAGAAGGAAAAATGGGACAGATTTGGTTTCAAAACCAATCAATTGAAACTGAAGTTGTGCGCTCAGATCGTTTTTGCTGCCCCATAGCATTTCCCCTAGTAAATGCTATGACCCATTTAGTAGCGAATCAGGATTTTTCATTGCAACCCGTTTTCACTACAAAATGGTTACGTCAAGTCATTTTGTAGTGACCGACATTGGCTTTTGATCCATCATAAAAACACCCAAACCATTTTGTAGCAAGGGGGGTTGGTTCAGATTCAAGCTTCATTTTGTAGTATAAGGCTGTGTTTGTAAACGGTTTAGCGGGCACAACTTCTCTGCAGAATGCACACAGGGATTCTTTTGTAGGATTGCTGGTCTACTTTACCCAGTTATCTTCCTGTTTCCACCGCATTACTCACCACTCATTGAATTCTCCACCCTACATTCTCCACTTCCATCTGTGCCCATCTTTCAAGACTATTCTTTGGCGATTGAGCCAAAATATTCTCAGTCTGAGAAGGCGCAGAGTTCGATTTGCACAGTATTTTTCTGTGACGTTGCCCAGTTGCCCTTTCTGTGTTCATTTTGAAATCCCACTCCCCACTCCTTATTTTTCCATTCTAGGTTCCCGCAAATTTTACCTCAGAATGCGGCCGATGCTATGTAAGAATTATGCAATTTTAAAATTAGCAACGTTTCATGTTATTTTGCAGACCCTTTGCTACATATAGACAAAGCGTCCAAACATCATAAAGAGAACTTGCGCAAGACAAAAAAACGACTACGTTGACATTTAGGGTGGTTCTGGAAGCCTTGAGGAAATATCCAAGGCATGTTCTTTGCAACTTGTTGTCCATTGGGTGAAGACTTTTGGCAGCTTCAATCTCATCCCCCACGAAATTGGAATGATTGGAATGTGGTTTACCATGGTTTGCCTACCTTTGGCTTGCCGCCTTCAACTGTCATCAACTGTCCTCAGATGCCTAGCGGCTGTCTTCGCACGGCTTCCGCTCGATTCTAGATGTCCCTTTCCTGCCGAGGCCAGCCGAATGCAATCAGCTTTACCAGCAGCGAGACGTCTTCCGGCCCTACGTTGTGCAGAAGGCTGTAGATCCAATCTGACTCCATCATCCTGGTCCTGCATCATCCAGCATGTAAACACTAATATTGAAGGATATTGCAGGATATTGAAGGTATAGAATGCGCGACGATCAAAAACGGAGAACTTATGACTCGAGAGCAGTTGTTCCCCGAAACGCGAAGCAATGCCACGTAAGATCATTGAGCGAGCCGATGTTGCTAGTGACAACAGAAAGATCGTTCCTTCCAACCAGCGCCATTTTTTTCCGGTAGATTTCTTTGACATTCAGATTTCTTTTCCTGCATTTGTTCAACGATATAGTTCTACGATATAGTCATATATATATATAGTCTTATGAACTTATGATGTTTTATAATGTACTTCTCGGCAGGCCGGCGTCAGCCTTGGTGAGCTTTTCGGATGGCTTCTTGCCACCATAGCGCTGGGATTTGTCGGCCACTCAGAGTTGACCGATCAAATGCTTCTAAAGACAACCTGTACGTTTTAGCCGTTTTAGTGTCCTTTTCAACCATGGGAAAGATGTTCGCATAAGGATTTATATTTTGGAGTATTTTGGTTGTGTCTTCCAGCACTTTGACTATTGACTCCTGCAGGTTTGCATGCTGTTGTACAAGTGCTGAACTTAAAGGGAATGAATTGAGGGACAACTTCGCCCGTCACAAGTCCTAAACACTGTACTGAAGAAGAGCAGCAATTAACTGAAGCTCTTTGACAAAGAAACCTTCTGTTTGACTCTGATTCGTTTTGAGCCCGCATGTGTACTGAGCGATGCTAGATGCAGAGCCTTCTGAATCTCACTTCAATGTCCAAAGGATGGTTGGTAGTAGTCAATTTTTGTTTGTTGCCTCTACTGTTTCTTTTCCATCACTTCGATGCATGCTGATTGCCTATACTGAAATTTGACAGACTGAGGCGCTACTTGAAGAAAGAGATGCGCACAACGCTTCGAGAAGAGGCACGTGGCATCATGTGGATCATGTCGATCATGTGGCTAAAGACGACTCGTGACGACTCTGGTTGCTTCTGTTTGTGCAAGATATTGTGATATATTGTGATATTCTAGATTATTTACCTTGCCTTGTGTCACTTGAGAAGGACGGTTCCTTGCTAGGTACTTAGCTTGGTTAGCTCACTTAGCTAAGCATGTGCTAAGTATCTGCTAAGGTTCAATTTCGTTCACTGGAATCCTTTAACATATAGTGTTTTGGTGGGAACAAAACTTCTTGAAGAAAGAAAATAAAATAACAAATTTCATCAGAATGATGCATGATTTTCTGCATTTGATGGCTATAATGATTATCCTGGCAAGAATATGGAGCATGATTTTTGCATTTGGTGGCTGTAATGATTATCCTGGCAACAACATATAACAAATCCATTGGGTTTGGTTGTATGTACAACATGGAAATCTGCTTTGGATTTCCATGCAAAAGCCATTCACTCAGCTCATTGCCCATGGTGTGATTGCATCTCAATGGAAGAAAAGTTGGTGCACAAAAGCAAATGGGAAGCAAATATGTCATGCCAAAAGCACTGAGTGCTATGCCACAAGCAACATGTCCATGAAGCATGCATGGCTTGCATGTATGAAAAGCAATGGGTGCTAAGCCAAAAGCACTGGGTGCTAAAATAGAAGCTATCCAGGTGGCATGCCACAGGCACTGGGTGCTAAAATGGGTGCTTTCAAAGCAATGCACATGGAGAAGATGCTGTGGTAACTTAGAAACATAACTGGTCAGGAAACTGCAGACTTTTTTTC